ACACCAACATGGCGCCGAATGCCGTGCCGATCGCTGCACACACACACACGTCAGCCACTCTCTGCGTGTTGTGTGTGCGTGTGTGTACCGTAGTAGATGGCTGCCGGTATGGCCGTCATCTTGATGAACACACCTTCGGGCTCCTCCACACCTGGTTGATTGCAGGTTCGTCAGCCAGCCTCCGTGTCTCCCTCACTGTCTCCCCTGTTGCTTGCTTGTTTACCGAGGACGGTGCGTGCGGCGAGGACATTGTGGATGCAGATCATGTTGCCCAGGGCGGAGCCGAGGCACTGCAGGGCCAAGAAAGATGTCACTGACATTTCCTGCACAACACACACAAACACACACACACATAAAGATCGGGGGTTGAGCGTTGCGAGCGTGTGTGTGAGTCCATCCATCCATCCATCCATCCACACGCACACACGGCTGGACGTACCAGCTCGCAGGCGGCCACGCGATGGATGTCACCAAAGGTGAGATTCGACACCTGTGTCCACCACACAAGCAAGCAAAAGCAAGCAGAGGGAGAGGGAGGGAGAGGCGGAGGGAGGGAGAGACACATTGACTGAGACGGATGGGTGGCCCACTGTCGTCGATCCGGAGAAAAAACTTCCAAGTGCACCTGCGTCAGACAGACAGACAGAGACACCGGGCAACCTGTGTGTGTGTGTGTGCAGCAGGTGCAGGTGCAGGTGCAGGTGCAGGGGTGTGTGTGTGTGTGTGTCGGCTGACCGAGTATGGGCGCAATAAAGACCCAGCCGACGTCGAGCGCCCCGGCCAATGTGCTGCCCACAATGGTCGCTGAACAAAGGAACACATTCGATCGTGGATGGATCAACGGATGGATGGATGGATGGAAACGGCGAACCTGGGCTGTCGAATCCTGGTGGGGCGATCTGCAAGAGCTGGACCAGCACAAGGGCGCCCATCAGCGCAACGATCGGAGACACCATGCGTTGGGCCGTCTCCCTGCCGACACACATAGAGACAAACACACACACACACACACACACACAGATGCACACACACCACACTGCGCTCATGTCTAGGTGCACAGCGCGGCCGGCTCACTTAAAGATCGTGAGAGGCGAGGCGTCCAGCCGGTGTCGGAACATGTACCTGTGTATGTGTCATGCCATGCCCCACCGAACACGCCATTGTGTGGCCGGTGTGTGGGGTGAGTGAGTCCAAACAAACATACCAAACATGCTTACATGGCTGCGAGCGACACCACGACGAAGGGGATGATGAACGGCACGTAAAAGGTCTGTGTGCGGTGTGCATGCCACACCAGCCACAGCCACAGCCACAGCCGCGCACACGACATTCGCCGCATACAGATTGGGGATTGATGCGATCGATGCGCACCTGGAATCTGAAAGACACCGTAGGCTCGGCAAAGATGCGCACGAGGAAGATGGTGACGCTCTGGGCAATGCGGAACGTCCCGAGACCGCCCAGAGGCAGCTGGTACACAGAAACACCACACACACATCACATTATCTCTCTCTCTCTCTCTCTGTGTGTGTGTGTGTGCGTGTGTATGCGTGTGTTTTACGTCGCCATATGGCTCCTCGCGGATGAGCTCGTCCTTGATGCCGATTTCAGAGACGCGAATCAAGATCAGCAGCAGCACCTAAACACACACACATACACACGCAAACACACAGTCGCCCATATAAAGTAAGTGTGTGTGTGTGTGGTGTGCGTGTGTGTTCATCTCTGTGTGTGCGCGGCGACTCACTGTGCCCCAGATGGGGAAGGTGTTCTCGACGGCCTCGCGCACCGCCTCCCAGCCTTTCGGCCTCTGCAAGGCCTCCTCGACCTAAACAACACCCCCACCGACACATATCAGCTGTGTACTTTGGGGGTGAGGGCGGATTGTTCTCACTCACTGACTGACTGACTGACCTCCTCGCTCATTCCTGTCTGGATGAACTTCATGGCCTCCTCCTGGTCGAACAGCTGCGGCATGCTGGCGCGGTCCAACGCGTGGCCAGCCTGCGTCCAGGCGTCACTGCACCACCACACCACACACCAAAAAGGAACAGGTGGATGGATGGATGGCTGACTGACCGGTGGAAGAGGATGGTCTCCCCCTGCGAGTAGCGGCGGTAGGGAGCGTCGCGGATGATGATCTCCTCCTCCTCCTCCCTGCACACACACACTCTCGCATGTGGAGGTATGTGTGCGTGGGTGGGGGGGGGTGGGG